CCCCCCGCCCCCAACAAGCTACATGTTTAACGGTAAATGCCTTTCTCTCAATATGAAAACAAGTCAAACTAACTCAGGAAATGTCACGAGGTTCGCATGCATTTGCTCAGATTTCGCGCGAATTCATTTGGAAGAAGAGAAGATAGTATCGGTTGTTTCCTGTACTACGTTAGTGCGATAGCCACATACGCCTGACTCATTTCCACGGCAACTTCCATTGTTTATAGAAATTTATTTAAAATCCATTTTGTGTGCTTTATCGCGTATTGGGAAGTCAGATTGAAAAAAGAAAATATCCTTTCTCTCGTACGTATGCGAGAGAGCACAGATGAGAGGTACATTTAACGACTTGTAAAACAAGCGCTTAACGATCGCCATACCTGAGAGAAGGTAGATAGGCAGTCAGGCAGTCAGGCAGTCAGGCAACCTCAGCCCAAGTGAGAGAGAGGAGAAGAGGGGAGAGTCCCACGTGCTTCAGCTTCGAGGAGGTCCAGCCTGCTAAATTGAGTTTACGAGATGCCAAGAGACTGAGACAGTGAGTGTATCGTAGAACGGGAGGCAGAGAGAGAGAGAGAGAGAGAGAGAGAGAGAGAGAGAGAGAGAGAGAGAGAGAGAGAGTGCGTGTGTGTTGGGTGGGGAGGGGGGAGGCGAGAGAAAAAGAAAGGAGTACAGGAGGTGCAGGAGAATGTGTCCGAGGTTGGTCTTGCCTACAGGTGTTACCAGAAGACACCGTGAGCCTCGTCAACCCCTCAGGCATCATTTCGAATTCGTAAGCAGGAGCGATCGTAAATCCTCGGCAATTATATCCCTAAGGCTCACGGACGGAAGACCAGCAATTTTTTATAGTTTTACACAAGCCTGACACTATCACCCAATCACCTGTTCCCACGAGTTCCCCATCAGCTTAGGCTAGGAAACCATCCGACGAATTCTCTGTGAGTTGGGAGTTTTAGCGAATGGACGTAAGCCGAGAAACTTTGGGTGTTCCAGTGGTCAGAGGGAGGACAAGGGTCACGGCGGTCGTCTCGGAGATTCGAGTAGCGAGAGTGGCGATGACACCAAGCGGCAATCGGTTAATCAGCAACAGCAACCGTCGAGCTGTGCAGTTCAGCAGCAACAGCAGCAGCAGCAGCAGCAGCAACAGCAAATAATCGAGCATCAGCAGCCCACGAGCATGTACCAACTGCCGCCGCCTGTCTCGGGATCAGTCCCAAGTCCTCATTCCTATCACCAAGGACACGCATCTACCCTGAGCCATCCCCATACGCCCACCCACCATATGCAACACCACGATACCAGCAGCGAGAGTGGGGACGACAAGAGAAACATTCACCACCAGTTGCAGCATCATCTCCAGGGAGGCCATACCAGTCATGGGTTGGTCCATCCGACTGCGAGCCTCCCGCCACCGCCGCCCAGTTGCGCCCAGCAAAAGAGCCAGCTGGATTACATGCAGTACTACAGTAGTCAGGTACGGGCAAGTGATTTGCTGCGCATTCTGTCGCCCCTCAAATGCGTCAGTATCTATAACGTCTATAATTAGTATAATTGATATAATTGATATAATTGATTAATTAATAAGATTTCGAAGAACTGGCTGCTATAGAGGAAGGTTTTTCTTAACTGTCCGATAGGATTACCTGATAGGTACGCCGACCTCCGCTGACCTGCAGAAGTCTCTGCCGCACACAGCGTCCTCGATGCAAATGGGCGCAATCGCGCCCTCGATGGGCGGCCTGAGCCCCATGGGGCCTTCGACGATGCTGCCCAATACGATGCAGAGCGTCAACTCGATGAACTCCATGTCGATGAACGGCATGAGTATGGGTGCCTACCAGGGAATGGGCTCCATGGGAATGTCTTCGTCGCACGCCGGTTATCACAGTGGACTGGTATTGGGTGACTATCATTCGTTGTGACACTGGGTCCAGGGCAGCCAGAGTAAACGCGATCAGGAGAAGACCTAGCGGAAGGTCATCTTCGTGGGCAGCGGGGGAGAAAACGCCCAGAGATCGAAAGAGGGAACTTTCGAGATAAGTGAGTTTAATGGGGGCGCGCGCGAGACTCCCACCAATTGCAATTTTAAGCGGATACCAAAAATTTAAGACTAGAGAAAGAACAAAAAAGGGGAATTCAATGAAGAATCGGGGAGAAGAAGAGGAGGAGGACTACTACTTTACCTCTGTTTCTTCGATAGGAGCAGCCTCCATACGAAAGGACGAATGAAGTGTGCCTAGAGAATGCTCCCGTACGATCCTGCTACTCTTTTTTTTTCTTTTTTTCTTTTTTTCTTTTTTTCTTTCTCTTGGAAACTACAATTTCCCATCTTTATCTCGCGGACGTTTTTAAACCTGCGCATATGAAAATATCCAGCTGTCTTAGATGCGTTCCTTCTTTCGAATTCGTGCCGTCTCTTATAGGAAATCCGAAGCACGGCGGCCTTGTAACAAGTAAAGAGATTAGCGAATTTGAAAATGGGATGATGGATATTCGGTATTAATAGCAAAAGACATATTAGCATTTTCGTTTGCAAACTCGAGTCATACGCCGTTACAATAATGTATTAGCCTTTGTTCGTTAATCCTTTAATCGTAACCTGGAATAACTATTTTATCAATTTATCCAGGCTCGTCCACGGGCCACCCAGTTCCCCACAACGCAATCATTTTATTTCTAATTTTCTAGGATGCCTACGTATGTCCTAATTAAGAGGAACGAAATACCTAGTAATGTCGATAGAACGTACCTAATATTATTAACGTCGCTGTAACGAACAACAAGAACAACAACAACAACTATACACTTACATGATTATACGCTTTTTGTGTTTATCCTGTACATATGTAGATACTCCACACACACGCACACGCACGCGCACACACACACACACACACACACACACACACACACACACACACACACACACACACACACACACACACACACACACACACACACACACACACACACACACACACACACACACACACACACACACACACACACACACACACACACACACACACACACACACACACACACACACACACACACACACACACACACACACACACACACACACACACACACACACACACACACACACACACACACACACACACACACACACACACACACACACACACACACACACACACACACACACACACACACACACACACACACACACACACACACACACACACACACACACACACACACACACACACACACACACACACACACACACACACACACACACACACACACACACACACACACACACACACACACACACACACACACACACACACACACACACACACACACACACACACACACACACACACACACACACACACACACACACACACACACACACACACACACACACACACACACACACACACACACACACACACACACACACACACACACACACACACACACACACACACACACACACACACACACACACACACACACACACACACACACACACACACACACACACACACACACACACACACACACACACACACACACACACACACACACACACACACACACACACACACACATCCACGACTAAGTTATAGAATTTTTAATGGATAATTAAGGATAAGTGTGAGTGACTGGGCTCGAGAGAAATAGGCGGTGGGGCGATCCGTGATAACTGATAAGCATTGACGTCTACGCGGCATAATAGAAGGACAAGAAAAAAGAAGAAACGAAAGAGACGTACGTTGACGGATTTTCAGGCCGATCGCCTTTTTCCATTATTTACCTGTTGCGACGCAGCATAAGTATGGCCTAGCTCTTAAGTCTCATTTATTCGCGACTCCCTGTCTGTACATGAAGGGGGCTGAGAGTGATGTCGAGCATGATGTCGAGCACGAATCGGGAGCCGAGGATGCGTGCGTGCCTGCGTGCCTGCGTGCCTGCGTGCATGCGTGCCTGCGTGCCTGCGTGCCTGTATGAACGTATGCCTGGTCATAGCCACTATTAGTTGACACGCAAAAATTCCGAAAATATCTATGTCAGAAAATGTTTAAAACATGCAACGGAGGCAAAGGTTGGCATCTTATTGCTGTAGACTTTACGTTTAGTATCTTTTATTTCTGTCTCGGGAGGATTTCCGGCTCGATTAAAGCTCCGTTGCTCGCGATATTGCTTCCCTCGTAGATTTGAATCTGCTTAGCGACGAAGGACGGGAGGCAGCGGAATAGGGAAGAGCGAGCAGAGTGTCCTTGAAACGGAACGGGGTGAAGAGAGGGAGAGGAACGAAGACCGAAAAGAGAAACCGTGTAACAGAAGTGTGCGTCTCTCCGCGGATGGATGGAACTTGTGAGTGTGGCCCTGTGAGAGTGTGACATAAGATTCGAGCATCGAACGGGATGATCACTCGCAGCACGATTTGTAACTTGTAATTCCGACATGTGGAACGCGAGCACCGAGACGTCTGGCATTCGTTCGGTAAAATGGCCGCCATTCGGAAGATTAGTCGAGCGTCAATCGGTTCAGGGAACAGACGGAAGATCATCGTAGGTAGTAAGATCATCTTCGAAGTAATTGATATTATCGCTAGGTCTCCACTCAATGAGATCAATGGCAAAGCCGTTCGATCAAAGATTAGTGAATTCGCTTCGATTAACGCACAATATATCGTTAAGTGCCGTTCGCAATCAGACACGGATTGGAAGAACAGTGAACGTGCGGCGTAATACTGCGAGGAATAAGGTAAAATAGGGAATCGCGAATATTGGCCCGTTCCGAAGAGCACGGCTGCGGTCGGTCGATCGGTAACTCAACTACCGAAGCATCCAAAGGAGTTATCTTTGTAATCAGCTCACCCGTCGCGTCGCGAAGCTGATCGAGATGGAAATAAAGGTGAAAGCTCAAAGTGTCGAATCGCAACTACGATTAGGTTAGGGCGATGAATTGGGGGCGTCGCGTCGGCTGACGGGGATGTGCCACGAGATCGCATAACCGAAAATTAAACATTTAAGTAAATCATGTGAAATAGCAGTATTGCACAAAGTGCTGGTGACAGGGAGGACGCGAGTGCCGACATTAGCGTCCTTATAAAAAAATACAGAAAGATTAAGTAATCAGCCGAAAACGGGAAACTCGGACACGCGACACGAATGCGTACATACCGATTTGCAGAGTTTGGCAACGAAGGCAAATGGGGGGTCGCGAGCAGGTTACTATTTTCTTGCTTTCAAATGCACACACAGATATCTCTTTCTTTGTTCTCTTTCTTTCTTCCGTTGCCGGCCGTGCCAGTTATTCCGTTCGTTAGCGGACAAGACAACCAATGCACAACTAACTAAGAGAAACTCCGATGATGAATCACGATGTACGATTGAATCTCTACCGAATAAAGTTGATGTTATTTAAAAGATAATCGACTTTTCGATCTTTCTTTATTTATCACTCTTCATTGTTATTACTGCCGACTAGTCACTAATACTTGATCACGGCGTCTTGATCCCCCGTGATTGCTCTCCACAGGAACTCCAGAGAGTGCCGTTACCTGAAGGATATCCCAAAGGACGACGGGTCCTCGGAGATCGAGCAAGAGGATACGCGCTGCTGGTAATTATTTGGAAACGGAAAGGATCGTTCAACCTCCAATAGGAGGACACGGGAGGACACGCGATCGGGGCGCCGATCTCTCCCCGCCGCACGAGATAGGATCGCGCGTTCTCCATTGTTGCCCATATTCGCCAATGGATCCTGCATCCTTAACATCTTCCGGGATGATTTTCAGGAGTCTATCGGGGTCGAATCGTCCTTTGATCGGCCGCAGCGCGTCTCCTGCAAAAGCGCATCTGTCCCTTTTGACGCACGAGCAGATTTCGCTTCATTGTGCAGACGGCAGACCTCGATTCCTCTGCGACTCGTCGTCCCACGTCCGCCCGAATGATCCTCAGGCGTTTCTCTTGGAGTCTCAGCAACATTCCCTTAGGTCGCGCCGCATCGGCCCGGATGTTCCTGACAAGTGATAAGAAATCCTTGATCCTCGTCCTTCCTGGTTGGCATGGCAACGTGCTCCGGAGAGATTTTCAGCAGGAACCTTGAGAAATAGGTCCTTCCATGTATCTACGTACTTGCGGAGTGAACGCAGCCAGGAAGCAGCCGGGAAGTGTGGAAGCCAGCTGAACGGAACTTCCCGCGCGATTGCGGGACGTGAGTAGCAATTTTCCCAAGAATTCTCATTTTAGGGAAAACCCAATCGAGGAGCCGATCGAGCCGATCGAGCCGATCGAGCCGATCGTTCCGTTACGGAATGACGCGTTAGTTACGCACTGGATGCGACGCAACCTGCACGACTCGGCGCTACGCGCGGCGCGCGCGCTGGCTGCCTCCTTTTAATGTCGAGTGGCGCTTCAATTGCGCTCCGATTTTCCTACTCCCGTTTCCTATTCAAGCTTTCCAGATCCATCGGGACTCGGCCGAGTAACGAGTGTACCTGCTGGGCGCCGGCTCCTCCTCTCGAGAATTCGCCTGAGATCTGGACGCGCAACGAGGTGCCGAGCGGGCAAACTTTAAATGGGGATTTAAAAAATCGTGATCCTCCCGAGCCGCAGCCAGGCGGAATAAGAGCAGTCGACGCATGCCCAGCGGGCTGTTATAATTTCGGTTCTATTAGGCCCCCTTGGCCCCCTTGGCCCCCTTGGCCCCCTTGGCCCGTAAGCCTCGTAGGGATTTCCAGAGATCGTAAAGTTAAGCTCCGGGACCTCACAGAGCCTAGTAGGTACCGAAGGAGGGTGCCCGTGTGCCCGTGTGCCCGTGTGCCAGAGTTGGGAGAGAGTCCTCTCACGGTGCCCCGAAAGGGGGCCCACTTATACACGTGAAGAGGGTCCGGTCAAGGGGACGATCCTGTCAAGTAGCATCTTGACACGGGCCTCACAATGGCTACTTGTTAGCGCACTGCTGCTTCAACAAAAAATGCTACTTTACCAAATCACTCCCCACTATCCCTTACCACCCGCTCTTTATTCCCATCCAATTATATTCTAGGAATTTCATTTTATTTGCATCATTCTAGGATGAAGCTTGTTCGGTTGTAAATAAAATTTACAACAGGTGCATCGGGAGGTGAAAAAATGAAAATAATGGGAAGCAAAGGTAAATGGGGAACCCAGTGTCCTCTCTCTCTCTCTCTCTCTCTCTCTCTCTCTCACTCGCTCTTCCCTCCTTCGCCCCCCCCCCCCCCCCCCCC